CCACAATACCAACAAGTGATTAATAAAAGTCAAAAGACCAAAGAGGTCACCTTAATACCAAAAAAAAAAAAAAAATTTTATAATTACTAACTTTTTTTATTTATAAATATTATTAATTTTACTATATAAAGTTATTAATTTTTTATATAATAATCTAATTTAAATATGGGTGTGATGACCTAGTGAAGTTGTCAGGTTATCAACCTTCCAAGTAGTAGGTTGGGTGTTCAAATCCCATCGACAATGAAAATTTGAATAATTACCTATGTAATACTCATATTATGACAACTGTTACTAACGATTAGGTTAGAATACCTGTAATAGTAATTACACCAGCATGACTGGCAGGTCATGGGGCATTCATATAACAGGTCACATGATATTGTCCTTTGGGACAAAGTTATGATTATACAAAGAAATGCAAACTAGCAATTAGGCAGTACAAATACTAGATAAGTTCTTGTAGTCATATAAATCTGTTAAAATTAGGTAACAAGAAATCTATTTGGAAAGACCTGAATAGAGAGGTAATCAGATCTTTGATGGCTTTACTGTAAAGGCTAGTCTTATGAAACAGATACTAAGATCAAAGTAGCCAGACAGGCAAAAACCTTTAGATAGAAGATATTACCAACCAGGCCACTGGATCAAAATAGAGAAAAAAAATATCGAACTGATCTGATATACCAATAGACTGGTCATAAATCCTATCAGACTATCTGGATTGGGAGTTTGGTAAATTGGCAAAGGTATACTAAAGTATTTCGGATATGCTGTGAAGTAGATAGTAGGTTTGTATGAACTCTACAAAGGCATAGTGGTTTAATAGTCAACCCTAATCACAAGTATTGGTTCTGCTATAATGATACCTAGATTAGTTATAAAAATAGGTATAGAAGGCTCTGAGAGGTTTACCTTGAGAATAAATTAGTCCTAAGATTGAGCTGATGATCTGGACATCTGGGATAACTCAGTGATATTAATACAGATTACAGGTTCAAAAAGTTTAAAATAGAACATCCAAGCAGAGATATTAGGTACGACAATTAGTGAGAACCTTCAGCCAGACTCCTTAAATAGGTAATATAGAAAAGTTATATATGTAGCCAATTGTATGCTCTTCTGTAGTTGTTTATTGAACAACAATACTAATAAGTGATTAATAAAAATCAAAAGACCAAAGAGGTTACCTTAATACCAAAATAATAATAATAATAATCTAATTTAAATAAGTAATTTTCTTTTTATTATAACTTTTTTTTTGCATAATAATCATAATTGAAATTTTGCAAATTTATACACAAAGATTACATCAAGGTACTTGCATAGTAATACAAAAAAATACTCAATTATAATTGGTTAATTTAAAAATATATTAAAAAATTTTAATTTTTTAATTTTTTTTAAAAAAATTAACCAACTTTGAGATTTTTTTAAACAATATGTAATCAAAAATTAATTTAATTTTTTTGATAAATATATTTTATAAATCTTCAAATATTAAATATATTTATTTAATTGCAAGTTAATATATAAAATTTTGTATAATTATATTTTAATTCAAATGTGTCAAGTTGATGTATCATGCTTAATGAGACAACCAATATTTTGAAAATATAAATAATCTAAAAATAAAAAAACTACATGTAAATGTTGAAATAAAACAATATATATAATTTATATTATAAAAACCTTATTATTATAATTTTATTAAATGAAATTAACTCTAAATCAGACTTTGTAATGAAGATTGTCCATCCTGCTATAAAAAGTACGATCGACACTGGTAAATCCCACCAGCGTATAATATAAAATAAAATTTTAGTACCGTAAAACCACGAAATAACGCGCAGTGGTAAAATTACGAATTTTGGCCTAAATTAAGCTTGATTTAGGCCAAAATTTTACACCTGCGCGTTATTTCGTGGTTTTATGGTAACAGAACTACTTTGGGGGTTCTGATAAAAAAAAATCTCCGTAAAATTCTGAGTATAATACCTCTTTTATTCTAATTCAAGCTTTTAAACCTTACCTTAAATATTAAAAAAATTGATTTTTGCTTTGATGAAATTTTAATCATTGTAAATCACTGAAGATAATCGCCAGTGGTGAAACGAAGTGATTTGCAAATTTTAAATAGTGTTTTTTTAACATAAATTTATATATTAAATTGAAGTACATCATCTCATTTGACCAATAAGTGCAACTAGGGGAAAGTAACCTAAATCTGCTAACAAAATGAAGTTTTCCTATACTAACAACTCGGAGCTTTCGCTTTTCCTTTCTCTTTCTCTTTCTTCGATTTTTTTGGTTTATCTTTAGTTGACCCTTCAGGCTTTCCATCATCATCACCATCGTCCAACTTCTTCTGAGTTGTATATAGACACAATGTTAACTTATAAGTAAAATACAAGTACACACAAACTTAAAAGTTATATTTACAGTGTGGTGAGATTTTTCTTCACGAATTTTTGGTTTTTTGTGCTTTTTTTCTTTTTTGGATATTTTTCCTTCTTCTGGAGAGTCTTCTGCAATCTTCCTCTGTAATTTAATAATTAATCAGACAATCTTCAGAAATGATTAAATCGTAGAGCTAAATTTTACATGCCTTTAACGCTTTTTCTTCCCTTGCTTCCATAGGCGTAGTATCAATTTCTTGTATTAATGCAGTAGTATCCTTACGTTCAGTTGTCGTAGGTATTAGGCCTATCATTTGTGTTACATCTGGTGTACTGTTGTCTCCAGTTCCACTTAAATCAACATAAGATTTTTTCCAATCTGCCGGTGTATTCTCATTGGGCCGACCGAATTTAGTCAATTTACCTTCGGAGATCATCTTTTTTTTCTCCATAGCCTAATAAATACGATGGTAATATATTATAGGTAAGAATTGAATGTGAATTGAATGTGAATTATATATACCAATTTAAACAATATAAACAATTAATACCTTAGGCCCTAATCCCCAAACTTTCGGGTAGGTATCGCGCTCCATAATGACTCGTTTTATTTTTGCGACAACACCTTTAATAAAAGTTACCAAGTTGAATCTAACGAGTTCAATGCAAAAAAATTTTGTAAGGAATCTTACCATGATCAACGGTTCCCATAACTACGGTTGTCATCAAAGCTATTCCAAGAGCAATGGCCTCCCCTTTTGTAGTCATAAGAACAACTTCTTCATTAATTTCAATCCCTTCTTCGTACCGTAGAAGACCTGGTATCATTAACTTTGCACCATAGCATATAGCATTAACAGCACTATCTTTAACGACAATCCGTTTATATGTTATTAAGAGAGATTCAAGTGGTCGAATAACTCTTCGAAGATAAGACTCTGAAAGATAATAAGAATGATTGAAATTGTAAATTACTTAAAGATCTAATAATTTACTATAAATTTGAATAGTTAAATGCTTTTACTACCTACCGTCTTTAGTACTTTTATGGACCCACATAGCATCTAACACATCATGCAATGTAACCATATCATCCTAATTTGAGTTTAGATAATTAATTACTCGTAAAGAAATAAATTTTAATTACAAAAATAAAAAAAGGCCAGATGTAATAATTTACATTTTCGGACATTGCACCTGAACGAACACGTCTAAGTTCTTGCATGTGCGCCCCAACGCCGAGAATAAGCCCCAAGTGAACACAAAGAGTACGAATATAGGTTCCAGCCTCACAGCTCACCCAAAACACGCCCAGATGACGGTTATTATCAAATTCAATCAAATTGCTATTATAAATATTACGAATGCGTAATTGTCGTTTGACTGCGGAAATCAACGGTGGTCGTTGGAAAAGTGCACCAGTAAGGGTCTCCAAAGCAGAAGAGAACTTTTTGACAGATTCAATTGCATCATGGAATCGAACAACACACACATATTCTTTGCCTACACGTGAAAAGGGTTTTCGAAACTTAAGAAACCTAAACAATACTTAATTCACTACTAATCAATTACTTCGTTATCTAACCTGCACTTTGTTGAGATTTAACTAAACGAGTAGCTCGATCAATACAAACGATCAAGCAGCCCGTAACTTTAGGATCTAATGTGCCACTATGCCCGGTTTTCTCGACTTCAAGAATTTTACGAATCCAAGCGACTACTTCATGTGAAGAAGGGTTTGCTGGTTTATCAAGGTTTATTACTCCATATCTATAATGAAAAAAAAAATTATACCTAATGCTATGAAAATTTATCTTTTGTTTAATTAAATACCTTATGTATTCATTTAGTTCACGCTTAAGCGGAGAACATCCTTGAACGACAGGCGTGTAGTGTCCAGTACGAACATGAAGTTTATCATAGTTCTACGTTGTATAAATACAACGAAAACATTAGTAATTTTAAATAAAATACTGGTATTTCAACATAAGAAAGCATACTTTAAGCAATAAAGGCCATTCTGAGGTATTTAAGCGAGGAGTAAACTTTTGGGGTTTGATTGAAAAATCTTCCTCTTGACGTGACTTGGAATGTTCACCAAATTTTACTGGTTCACTCATCTGAAACAGTCTATAAAAAATAGATACTTTAGCTGATATTTATCAAATTCAATGCTTTATAGGTTATCTCAACTATGGATAACAATGGATAACAATTATTTCTCGAACGTTATTGAATTACTACGTACATATCAAAACAGCTTCTGATTTCGGATCTGATTATCTATAACGATAATGGCCAATCAACTGGTAAAAAAAAAAAATTATATTTTAACCAATAATATATAGTACAAATATTTACTTACTATATAGAGTAGGTATTTAAGCATATTAACTAATATATATGTATATTACCTAGTAAATATATAGAAATAAATTAATATATATTTCTGGGATTTCGTTATGTAAATTTTGTATGATTTAGACAAAATTTGTTAATTCTGGCCCAGCAGACCACGATTTCGACGTAAAAGATAGTTAAGAGCTAGAAGTCCTAAAGTTGTCTTTTTTAGTCCTGTAGTCACTAAAATGGGATTCTACTCGAACTACGTATCACGTTCTGATTGACGATCCTTAAATTATTGATATCGGCAAAGTTCATTTAACATGATATGTTATCTGATTGGCTGGTTTTAATCACCTCCGTAGCGAGAAGCATGATTGGCATAAATAATTTTTTTCTAAAAAAACTAAATTATACAAATAGTATACTTATAGGTATTATACGAAAAATTTTCCAGCACGTGATTATAGCCAATTATATTGAAGGATTAGGTATAACGTGATCACGTCATTTTAAAAAATCGCTATTAACTCATATGAAACTGCCTTCTGCGTTTTAATAAAAAATTTCTCGTATAAGAGTTTTGACCTTCGCCGGAAGTTTTGTTTTTTACTGGAATTTTGTTTTTCAACTCTTACGCTTTATTTTTGAAAAAGAAATTTTTATAATATTTGGTAAGTTCGATCATTTTAAAAGCGTCAATTGTCTTTTTCATTGAATATTTTTTTAGAAGCAAGAAAGTTCAGATTTGTAGTGGGTGGAACTAAATCTGACAAGCTAAGCTTGAGAACCTACGTAAACTCCGCTTGGTTCTTTAAAAATATTCATTGTCTAAGATTAATACCCGTTTAGGATGATGACAGAGTAATCTGTTATAACTTGGTGGTTTGGAGTTTAAACTATGCTCTAAGCATCCCTTCAGACTCCACGAAGTTTAAACTATGCTCAAAGCATCCCTTCGTGTTATCTACACTTACTAAGCTTATTTCGATAACTTACGTCTTTTTTTATTTTTTTTTATATTTAGGCTTTGCTGAAAACGAGATTGTCTTTGTAAATTTGGCCGAGATAGAGAATTTGCTAATTTTGGCAGTAGTTTCGAGTGTATAAAATAATATTGTAGTAATTATATTGTAACCGTTAGTCGTGAGATATTTTAATAAAAAATTATATTGAATATATTTATTTTAGATTAAAATATATAAAGAATATGAAATTTAAATATTTACTTTATTATAAAGATGTTTTGCGAAGTTTTTATTTATTTATTTATTGTTTAATAAAAATATATGAAAAAAAACACATATAAGACAGTACCAAAAAGAATTTAGAAGTAACTTAAATCATTATTTTTACTGCTGCTTTCGCCTTTTTACGAGATCACTTTTACATTTAACAAAAATCAAAGATTTTCATAAAAGTCCACCAATCGAAGATTCTTAACAAGGGTAACGAAAAATTAATGCAACATAATTTTTATGTAATTATGATCAACTAAAGTTACGAATAATTGCAATTTTTACCTTTGCTATAAATTTCAGAATAATGTAAAATTTTAAGAAACTGAAAAAACAGAATTATATTGTCATTAACCGTAATTGTATTTAAACGATTTATTTAATTTGTATAACCCGTTTCTTTGTTTTTTTTTGATTATCAGCTATGATCTCTTCGATGACGACACCAAAACGACGAAAACTTGAAATTTCTACTGTCTATTAAGTGAACAAAAAAAACCCTCAAAATGCGAAATTATTTGAAATCGTTAATAATAAATACAAAACCAATAAATAATAAAATACATACCTAGAAGGATACTTAGTTTCAGCTAAACAGTTAGCTTACTCGTCCTAGCCACCACGTAGCGGTGTATCCTATGAC